AAAACGCACCAATTAAAAATATTGCGCCAAGATGTAGGCAACACGTAATGAGCTATCACTGCCCCCCCCCATACCATTTTAATTTTTCGAAAGGGTTGCTCCTCTCCAGTAAGGGATGAAATTTAGGGTAAACTATTCATACAAAAATGTACATTGTAGAAATTAAAAATCGATGTGTCTCGGCGATTTTGCTAACAAGACTCCAGTAACGAGTTAGATAGGAGAGGTAAGACTTATGATGCTCACTGTATATAATTTTTCTATTAAAGTTTATTTATTTAACCTAGGCTTAGATCAATATGAAACTAATTCAAAATTATTAATACTACTAGCGGACCCGACAGACGTTGTCCTGTCTTAACTATGAATATTGATTTCGAATTGGTATAATTAACTAAAAAAATGTTTCAGAAACAAAGTGTTTATTATTCTAATGCTTTATGATGGAAGCATCTGTTTTAAACGATATTCATCTTTAACGATATTTGCAGCACGCATTCTGTCAATGTTATGTCAAACGCCATAAGGTTACATAAAAAAAGTTTAATTTAATATGGTGATTAAGTATTCTTAAATTTTCTATTTTTCCGCGCAATTTTCTTAATTTTTTCTTTCATAAGCACCTTCTCATGACAATAACAAACACAACAAAAAAAGAATTAGCGAAATCGGTCCAGCCGTTCACGCGTGATGCCGTGACCTACGGAAATAGGGATTCTTTTTTTATATATATCCTTCTAAATGTTTTTTTTTTTTGTTTAAATATGTGACGGAAATATTAAATTTTTACACGGGTTCAATTAAAAAGCTGGTAAGAAAATTTCACATGAAGTTGCATTTACTCGAATTGCATTAAACTGAATTGAAGATTTGAGAGCAATTGTACGAACAATGGCGATTTAATATATTTTTTTTTGGGTTAAGTTCCTGGATTTTTCACCACAAGTTTTATGCGAAAGGTAAGAAACAACCTTCATTAATTGTGCAACCAGGAAATACCGCTGAATTAATTATGACAAGTTCTAAATCGACTAAATTGTTCAAATGTTTCGGTAAGGGTTCCAATTTATAAGTCAGAGATGAGCCACAATTATCCATCTGGCTCGCAGTGGAAGGCGATGAGATCATCCCACTTATTTTCAACCTAAGGGTTCCCATTTGTAATTATTTTTCAACAACTTACAGTATCTTGCTGTTTATTCTTAATAGAGCTATCGATTTTTGCGTGTATGGTAATAATTGAGTAAAATGGTTGGACATCCCTTGAGAGTATCGTCTATGGCTCAGTGTTGATGTCCTTTTAATATATAGAGCAAACCGAACATGTTAAAAATTTATAATTTCTTCTCAACCTTTATTTTTATTCCGAATTTTGTAAACATTTCAGGAAATACCAATAATAACAATACTTAGGGTTGAAATTTTTTTGTAAACCTTCGAAAACTATTTATTTATGTATTTTGAAAATTTAAAAATTACTAAATGTATCTTCTTCTGTAACAAATAAATCACAAACCTATATCATTCTCTATCATCTATCTATAAATAAAGTAAATGAAACACAATTATCTAGATATAAATATCGCGCACGTGGTAGGTACCAACCAAGGTGAGAACTGACCTAAGCCAAGAGAGTTCTTTGTCAAGGTTAGAAAAGGTCGGCGATTTGCTCTTCTGTTCTGTAGTAGTAGTACTACACGCAAGCTACTGTTAGATCTCAGGTAGGCGGAGAGAAGGCAAAGGACTTGCTATACATTCATCGTTCATGTTTTAGATTCAGATTAATAAATGAGATATGGATGTTATGGAAGGTAACGTGTTTAAAAGTACTAATAAATAATTAAACGTTTCATAAAAGTTACAATTTATGTGTATATAATAAATTGTAATAGTAATTGATGATAATATCGTGTTAATGGGTTTTGTTGTTTCAGCGGTATCAATAAATTAATCAAAAATGTTATTATTGCTTGAATATAGGTATAATAATTTAAAAAAAAAATATATGTGAAAAATCAAAACTTGAGTTCATACAGATTGCGATTATTTCGCTAAGACAGATCCGGTTTCAAAATTTTTATTCATATTATGTCTGTGTTATATTGTTTATAGCCATTTTACATTTTAATATGACTTGTAATAATATAGGAAATATATACACGCCAGGAAACAAAATTATTATTAGATGTTATGTTATGTTATGTTGGGAATGAGGTGTTAATACACTGCGACCTAAAAGATCTATTGTGCCCCCTTCTGCAGCAAGGAAATGTCTTAATGCATATAACGACCCTTCGAATCCTATCTTCTCAAGGGAGTGTAGGATTTGGAGTGGCTTCAAGTTAGGTAAATCTCCATCTTTTATTTGATATGCCCTTGGATTATGGAGTGCTACACACTCAGTTAGAATGTGAATGGATGTTTCGTCCTCCTCCTCACAGAATCTGCACTCACTATCTTCTACTTCTTCCAGGTTACTAAGGTGTTCTTTTAGTAGGCAATGCCCAGTAAGGATCCCTTTTATTAGATGGTCCTGGTTTTTATCTATTTAATTTGTTGCTTCTTCTTCTTCTTCGTCACTTTACTCTTTCTCTTATTGCTTTCGTCTTCAAGTAAATCTACAATATTTTTGTTTCAAATATTCACAAATATTTAACAATTTTTTAAATTTGTTTCTTCGACGTATCCTCTTGTTTAGTTGGTTCCAAATCAATTCAACAGGATTCAAAACGCAAAAATAAGGGGTTACCTAAAAATTTTATGTCCTTTTTTGCGATCTCGTCTTTAATGTACCTTAGTAGCCAACTATTTGTAGCTACGCTATACTTAATAGTTATGACATAATTTGTTTCCCTGACAATGATAGTGAAAGTAGAGTAAAAATAGAGGTTATAGGTATTAAATAACGTTTTATTTCTATTAATTTTAAGATTATATTCATTTAAACTTAAAAAATAATTTGGTTACATATCTTTAAACTACTTTTTACGACCTGTATAAAAAAGTCAAATTCATGATTTATTTTTGTTAAAAGTTAATTGACAGTGGAACACAAATTACGACACAACGTCACACAGCGTATTGTATGTCATTTTCACTTGGTATCATAATAAAATATCCTATGATATCGACAGAAAATTACGTAATTCTCAGAATATAATTAATTGTCTTAATTTAACAAATTGAGACATTGTACTAGCTGGAAAGTTGTTTAAAATTCTACTGCAAATATCATACTAACATTTTCTATTATTAATGTTGATAGGTCAGAATCTTTCACTTGAAATTTTAGAAGAGTTGGTTTATCTAAGACTTTATTTTATTCTAGACACAATCGACCTTTAAATCCAAACAATTCATGAAATACCAATATCTGGTAGGTATTATTTTTTCTTTCGTTTTTGCCTTTATAAAAATAAATATATTATCTAGAGGGTTCTGTAGCTTTGAAAGTAATTGTTTTGGGTTGTAATGTAGTAGTAACCTTCCCGACTAATAATAAGGATTCACTAAATAAGGTCCAACCGAAGCTCTTCGCGTGTTGTTGGAACTGGTATGCGACGTCTTACACGCCTTTTGAGCTGGTCCCAAACATGCTCAATAGAATTAAGAACAGGGCTTATAAGAGGCCAATCGATTTTGGAAATACCAACCTCTCCAAGGTATTGTATTACCATCCTTGCCATGTGTGGTCGTGAGTTATCCTACATTAACAGCAAAGCATTGCCAACAAATCCAGCATATGACATTACATGCTCTTTTAGGAGCTCTGTTACGTATTGTTGTGATGTAAATGCGCCTCTAGCAATAATAAAGAGATCCGTGTGTGCCTCAAAAGAAATTTCTGCTCAAAACATTACTGAAACACCCCCAAAAGCAACCCGAGGTGACCGAGTACAGTTAGCATAACGTTCTCCAACTCTTCTGTAAACCTTATTTCTTTGCACATATATGCACGATCTACACTTATCCGTCAACAGTACATTTGTCCAATCGTCCACTGTCCAATTCATATGTTCGCGAGCAAAAGCAAGTCTGCGTCTTTTGTGTACTGCAGTAAGCAGGGGTCCTGTAGCTGGACTGCAAGCTATCAAAACCACTTTCTCTTAACCTTCGCCGAATAGTAGAAGTGCTGACTGCCGTTCCATGAGCTTGCTGAAGACTGCTTTGGAGCATTCTAGCAGTTTGGACTCGGTCTCGTGAAACAGCAATGGTGAGTAAAGCGATCTTCCTTGGCTGTTTTTTTAGCACTTATACCGGGTCGCCGGTGATAAGAGCCGGTCGCAAGAAACTATTGATATGTTCTTTGTACAGTCGAACGACTGACATTTAATTGTCTCGCCACATTCCGTTGACTCGCTCCATTTTCCAATAATGTTACAAATTTGAATAGCTCTTCAATATTTTTCACCCATTATTAAGGATTACATTTTACTCTATGAAGACCATTGTAGTACAAAAATACCTTTAATACTCTTTAGAACACAATACAAGTTCATAAAGTTCTCAAAACGGTCACTTTCATGAAACTTAATTGACGGGTAAAAAAGTATTCTGATAAATTTTTTGGTTTACTCGGTTCCGAAAATTTGTTTATGATCTTTACAGGGTCGGCATGACTTCGTAAGTACGCAAACTAACCCGTTTTACGTAATTAAAATATAAGAAACTTAACAAGATAGATAATTTCGTAAATTTTTTGGGTGGCCCGTTTTCTCTGTAGTATAAGTTTATAATATTTTCGCACTAAGTCAAAATAGTATTGCTTGTCTTCCAGTGGGCCGTAGGTAAAACTTAGTTAAAAAGCTAGTAATGTAAAAAACTATTTTTCTTGATGCCGTAAAAATTACAAACAACTGACTAAAAAATACCTATAATAATGTATAAATATTTCTATTTCATTTTTATCGCATTATTTCATGCTATAATTTTTATCAGTGCACAAAATATATATGAGGAAGTTAAAATAATAAAGTAATAAACAAAAAAGTAAGACTTACCTATAGACGAAAGGGCCGACTTCTTGAAGTTTTGGTTTCTCTCCATATGTAAGAAAACTGTCTGGATTAGTAACGTTAAATATGTACACTTTGGTTAGTCTTATCACACCGGGTTTTTGCCAATATTGAAAACTCAGTGATCCATCTCTTAATCGTAAATTCTACAAACAAAATAAATATATAAGTATTTGATTTTTATGTTTTATACACGTCATTAAGCTAATAAATAGGAGAAGAAAAGTATAGTTGTTTCTAAAGGTTAAGGCTCTACAAACGAGTTTGAACTACAGGTTCTTCAACATTACCCGTATACCACGTGATCTGGTTACATCACAAAATGCTGAGCCTAAAATTATGGCCTTACCATTTTTTACATTTCTGAATTTTTTGATGAAAAACGCAATAAGTGCTCGTTGTTAAGCCAGCAGATTACCTAATTTTTTCTATAAAGAAATGATCGGATTTTTTTTTAGGTTGGTATATTAGCCTAAAATTAGCCTAAAATTATGGCGTATTTAAAGGTGTTCTGCTAGCTTGATATAGCAGGGGCTGAAGTTGTTCCGGCTGTAAAGTTAAAGTGCCGCAAAAAAAATAGTGAATGTGCAGCAGAGAAGAAAGAAAATCAATTCCTCAAACGAGAAAACAAATTATTAGATTCTTTAAATAGTGAATTGAAGTGTAGCAATGATCTCTTAAAAGAAAAACTTGATGTACCAAATAAGTGTAATAAAACCCAGGAAATAAATACAAATCCGCTATCTTATCAATACAATCCAACTACTTCTTATAGCGATGTAGTTAAAAATATACCAACAAACAAATTCAGTTTAATTATAAAATGTAATTTTAGTGATCATCTCAGAATTTTAATATGTAAGAATTGTGCATCCTATGGTCATACAGAAGGAAAGTGTTTGTCAACTATTGCAAAATGTTCAGTATGCTCAGATAATCATGTACTTCATCGGACAAAAAATGTATTAATTGTATAGATTCTAATAATAAATATAAAACCAAGTATGATACCGGCCACTCCGCTAATGTCATAGCATGTCTAGTTTCTATGAATTACTTACAACGTCTTAAATCTAAAATTAATTATGGTTAATAATTAATTTCAGAATACAAAGTTAAACATTGCGCATGTTAATACGCGCTCTTTATTAATTAGCATAAATGATTTGTCGGCCACTATTAGTGATAATAAATTTGATATACACACAACCAAACTTATATGGAATCACCTATTATATTTTATAATTTTTGAGATGTATGAACATTTTTTGTTTATGAATAATACTCAGTCCTTACCAAAGATTTTTAATGACAAATAACCCACATAGCAATAAAAATAATCAATTAGTTGACAAAATAAACACATTGTTATTTTTTAGTTTCTGAAACGAAATGAGATTTAAATTTTTAATAGCCGAAAAGTCAAAAAGAAAAAGAAAAATGGTAATTCTAACAATCCATATTACCTCCTCCTCTGGCCTTTATGCAAGCTTATAATCGCCTTGGCATGCTTCTTATTAAATTGTCAACATTGTCTTGGGGAATGTTTTCCCATTCTGCCAATGCTGCATCAATAAGCTGTGCGACATTTCCTGCATTATTTCGATAAGCTCTAACCCTTCTTTTGAGCTGGTCCCACAAGTGTTCGATAGGATTTAGGTCTGGTAAACATGCAGGCCAGTCTAAAACTGTGACACCTTTCGTTTCAAGACATTTTCTAGCCACTCTGCTGGTATGGGGAGGTGCATTATCGTGCATAAAGATAAAATCATCCCCAATTGCAGTTCTCCAAAGCCTAACGATTGCTTCTAGCACTAAATCAACATACCTCGGACCGGTTGAAGTTAAAGTGGTAACAATGGAGTTTTTGCTCCCAGCGTAATATCTCCCACAACATTACAGTTCGTCCTCGATATCTTGGGACAGATCTGGCAGCGGAGTCTCGCTCATCTTCCTGGAGCTTTGAGAACCCGAATTCGATAATCATCTGCTCTTAGGCCAAATCTGGTCTCATCCGAAAAAAGAATATTTTACCAATTCTCAATTGTACAGTTTTGGTGTTGAAGGCACCAATTTAACCGGTCAATTTTATTTCGCCTAGATAAGGGTGGGACCCGTAACTCTCTCCTACTGTACAACCCTCAGGCGCGAAGTCTTTTTCTTAGGATTTCAACTGAAATGTTCACATCTGTAGCTTACAGAAGTTGTCGTTGTAGCTCTGGATAAGAAACACTGGGATTTCTTCTAGCAATTTAGTACAAAAAGCGGTCCTGTTGTTCAGTTGTGACTCTTCGACGACTTTGTCTGGGCCTGTTTATGAGAGTTTCTAGTTCCAAGTACCTTTTATATATTTTCGATGCAACAGCCTGGGTATCGCCAACTACCGCTGCTATGTCTCATTGGGACATTCCTTGTTCAATGAGAGCACATGTTTTAGTCCAACATGAGGTATTTTGTTGTTTTTTTTTGGACAGAAATAAAATTATCGGAGGATCGTGATTTTACTTCTGAACACAAAATTCACAAGATAATAAATCGTAGCAGTGGCATCTTCTTTATTATCATGTTTATTTTAAACAAAAAGCCTTATCTTATAGTTGGATACCAAATTTTTTCCTTGCAAAAAGTTTATTGAGAAATACACAATGATTCCGTTATAAGTTTGGTTGTGTGTATTAACAGTATCAAAAACTTGACTTTCTGATGAAGTTACCAATGCTGAGGTTAGTATTCCTGGTTACTCTTTTTTTAGAAATGACAGAAATCGTCATGACGGAGGAGTAGGCATCTATTTAAGATCTTGTTTTAAGTGCAAACTTTTAAAATTTGATCATTATTTTCATACTGCCAGTTTAGAGCATTTATGGGTTACCTTTAAAATTAGTAATGTGACATTCTTTATTGGAGTTTTGTACAGACCTCCGAAACATAATGTAAGTGACGCTATAACATATCTTGATAATATTTTACCAACAATTTCGACTAATTATGACATGCTATTTATCTTGGGCGATATAAATATAGATTTGTTTAATGAAAATAATCCTTTGTACAATCTTTCAGAACTTTTGAATTAACTCAAATCATTGACGAAGCTAGAGCACTAGAGAACTCTTATTGATCCTATATTTTTAAACTGTCCTGATATTTGTTCTAATCATGGTACTATTAATGTTGATCAGTTTACCGATCATAAGATGGTACGTTGTAGGATTAATAATAAACATAACTCCCACTATCAAAAATTTATAACTTTAAGAGACTTAAAGAAATAAGACCTAATAGCTTTTGAGTAAGATTTGTCCTATATTGGTTGGGCGGAAATGTTATATTTAAAAGATATTGATAGTAAAGTTAATTATTTAATTACCTTATTTGATAAACTTTGTCCCTATAGAACAGCTCGGATAAGTAAGCCTAAAGTGCCTTGGGTAACGCCTACTATTAAAATAATTTTTAAAAAATGCGATCGAGCTTTATCAAACTTTAAGCAAAATAAAAAATTGGGAAAATTATAGAAAACTTCGCAATTTTACAAAACACTAAAAACTATGAAAATTGAGTCAAATAATAATGATAATATCCCTTCTTTACTTTGTAATCTATTTAAAATCAATGAGTACTTTTCAACAGTCTTTCAATCAAATGATATGAACTGTTTTAATTCAATAGCAACATATAGAAATGGTAAGTATAATAAAACTATCGAATTTCATTTTAAACCAGTCAATATTGATACTTTTTACAAAATACTTCAAAATATCAAATTTAATCCTGGAGGCAGCAATTATATAAACTAAATATGTATAAACAAATGTTAAAAATGTGTTTAAATGTTATTGATGTGTATATTTATTAGTTATAGAAATAAATTGGTTGTTAAAGTAAAAATTAAAGTTAGGAGTCCTGAAACCTCTCTCAGAAAATTGCATAATTTTTGTTTTCTGTAAATTAACAGTTAATTTATTAGTAATAGTATATTTTTATAAAATTTTTAAATTTAACATCAATCTCAGAGTGTGCTAAAATGACAAGGTCGTCAGCATATAGTAGCGACAAAACTACATTTTGAATTGTGTATTAAAATATATACAGCACCATCTAGGTATTTTTAATTTAATTTTCACCAGTTGCTGTCATGATAATTTGATCACATGGGATACGGGTACTGATGAAGATCCTGTATAAGACTTTTAGCACAGCTTGGCAAAAGTGTTTATATTTCTAGTTAAAGATATAACTCTTTTTTTCTATAAAATGTTAAATTGTTTTTTAAATCCTAATAAACTTTTTCTAAATCAGTTGCTACTGTTAATACAGAAATTGAGGAAATAAATACAGGACTTACCTTTAAAATTATATAGTCTAACCATGGTATTGAAGATAAAATTATTCCTACTGCTAATGTAAATATTCCTATTAAGATGACAGCCAACCGACCTGAAAAGTAGAACAAACAGAATGACAAAAAGTTGTTAATTTTAGCGAGTTTGATGTATTAAGGAAATAACTAGAACTAGATTATTAGCACATTTTTTATGAAAATATAATTATCTAGGTATTGAAAGTTTTGTTGTCAGCGATTATGGAAAGAATAGTTTTTAGTTTACGTAAAGAATTGTGGTTTGATTAACTTTGAGATTATACAAAGCATTTAACAGTTAGTTAATCTCTTAGTATAGTGTTTTTAATACAAATCTCGTTGCATGTCATTACTAACGTTAGTCTTTCGTCATAGTATTACCAACTAATTAAAATGTCCCTAATATAAAGAATAGATATAGTCTAGTGTCTAGTCTTCATAGTCACCAATATTCACGAGCGTTCATGAACGTAGTCATATTATTAAAAAACCAAAAAATGGTGATTATTTTGATAATTTTAGAAAAACAATACCAATACAATTATTTAGTTCAGGGATTCCTAAAGTGGTCGATACCGACCCCTTGGGGTCGAAATCGGTTTTCCAGGGGTCGGCATAAACGAAAAATGATTTTGACAGTTGACGAAGTCTGAAAATAGACCCCTATTAATTAACACAAGTTCTTATCTGAAACTTTCAAGATACTAAATAAGTTGTGTTACGTGTACCAACTTGTTACCTATAAGAGTGACTAATATTTTAGTAAAAAGTATCATTGTTGTACTTTAAAAAAAAACTCAACAAGTCCCTAAGCGTGCACAAGTTCGTACAAGATGAAAAACTCAGCAAGTCAATAAGCGTGAACAAGTTCGTGCAAGATAATGAGTTCGAGCTTACAAGTCTTTCAGGTACGAACTAAGTCATAAACCAGTTCAAGTCCAAACATGCTCCTGATATTTTACTATAAAACAAGCTTACACTTAGGTTGAAAGTCCCCAATCACCTCCATAAACACAGCATAAAAAGCCCTCACCCAATTCATCCTAAATCTCATCTCCCAAAAACGACAATATGTCCGTACCCTCGTCCCAGTCATCAAAACTCAATAGAACCGTCTTAACGCCTTGATCAGACTCCAAACCAACTAACACAAACAACAACTATTGATCAATATCACTTATAATTTGGATCATAGAGACGGTTCCAAGTTTTGGGACAAATTCCCACTCAACCCCCGAAGAAAAAGCCCTAGCTCACAAAACCTACCTTGAAGCCACCTTCAGAACCCCCGACAACCCACACTTTGACAAACAATTCAAACACGACACCGAACAAAACGTCCTTCAGACACTCGCCACCCCCGTCCCACATTTGGATGTCGAAAACCCCCTCACTTCCCCATTCACCCTCCAAGATATCCAATATGCCTGCCAAGCAGGCAAAAACACGGCCTCCGGGCCTGAAAAACCCTGAAGCATCTTCCTGAAACCATCTTTCCTATCCTCACCCTTCTCCTAAACTCCTGTCTCTCCCTCTCCTATTTTTCACTTGCCAGGAAATCAGCCAACACCATTTTGATCCCCAAACCAGGCAAAGATTCCAAATTATTAAATTCATAAACACCCATCTCTCTCATATCAGTCCTAGAGAAACTCTTTGAGCTTCTGCCCAAAGAAATAATCTGGGAATTTTTGAAGAAAGAAATATCATCCCTCAATCCCAACATGGTTTCAGATCTCACCACTCCACACATGACGCAATCTCCTCCCTTCATACTACTGCGGTCACTGCAGTAAATTCCCAACAAATTTCTTCAGTCGTTCTCTTAGATGTTTAAAAAGCCTTCGACCAAATCTGGTATGCCGGACTAGTCAAAAAGCTTATGAACATAGGTCTCCCCCCCAAATCTCTAAACTCATACACTCCTACTTCACAGACAGAAAAATCACCGTCAAAGTAGGCAACTCCCTGCCAGACACATTTACCCTATTCGCGGGCGTCCCACAGGGCTCCGTCCTGGCACCTCTATCTCATCTACCTCATCTACATACACGACATTTCCCTCAAACCACCCTACGTCCAAATGCCTCCTATACGCCGACGATACAGCTTTAATCTGAGTAGCCAACTAAACACTCGAACCCAAAATCTGTTAAATCAGAACTCTCACTGGTGTAGCAGATGGAGAGTCTCATTAAATCCACAGAAAATAAAACTTATCGTCTTTAAACATCCAAATTATCGAAGAACCTCCCAGAACCCCCAACTCCTAAATGTTAATCTACTGGGAGTCAGGCTCGCTCAACAGACTGAAGTTGACTATTTGGGGGTACGATTTTCTCGTACACTCAACTGGTCTTCTGTTGTATAATGCTCTCTTGATAAGATGCGAAAACGAACAATCTCCTTGGTGCATTATGCGGACGTTGCAACACAAACAAGCTAATTCACACTTACAATTCCTTTATCCGTTCCGTTGCCGAATACAAAGCTGTACACTAGAGCGTACTTCTCACACACTTGTCTCACAAATTTACCACACTCGAGAGATGTATACTCAGACGTTGACAATATCTCCCCTATCGCTCCCCAGCGGAGAAGTTTTCAAAAACATATTTTTTTTTGATTTGCAGGTTTACTGTGATTTTTATGATTTGCAGGTTTACTGTGATTTTTATGATGGCAGACACGAAAAAAATTAGGACAATACAGTTTGGACTACTTGAAGTTTGGATTTATTCCATCTCTATCAAATTAACACTTGCTAATGTGTCTCATATCTGAAAACGTATTCAGTAACGATGCTATAAAGGCTTCAAAAATGGAGGATCACTTATCAAGAGCACATGCTGACAAAAAAGTAAGCCATTGTCATTATTTCAAGCACTTACAGAAAAACTAGAGAAGAGGCCATCCATAAGGTCGATGTTTAAGTCATCATCTATGCAAGACGTTGATGATTTACGAGCGTCCTATAATATACCTTTACTAATAGCGAAGTCGGAAAAACCCACACAATTGGAGAGCAGCTTATTTTACTTGGTGGCACAAAATTGATCGAAAACATTTGATCGAATGCATTTAATCGAAAAAACATTTTATCGAATAATAATTGATCGAAAAGAAAAATTATGGAAAAAAATTATCGAAAATAAAATTGAACGAAAATAGATTTTTGATAGAAGAAGCAATTGACCGAAAAACCAAATTTACATAAAATTATCGAAAATAAAAAAAACTAATTTACCTAATCTGTGCGGTCTAGAGCCTAACCATGTTGTTTCGCAAAAAAATAAAGGAAATGAAAAAAATTTAAAAACTAATTTATCTAACGTGTGCGAGAGCAATCAGTTAAATTTAAATAGCTCTAGGAGGCTGCACAGGTTAGGTAAATTAGTTAACATTTTTATTTTTCTCATTTTGGTATATATTTTTTTGCGAAGCAACCTTTAACGGCTCCAGCTTGCCGAGGTTAGGTAAATTAGTTAAGTTATTGTTATTTTATCATTTTTGTATGTTTTTTTGTGTAAAGCAACCCTCGACGGCCCCAGGCCGCACAGATTAGGTAAATTAGGTTTTCAATTATTCTTATTTTTGTTTTTTTTTTGCGCAGTAACCTTCTACAACTAGCCGCACAGGTTAGGTAAATTAGTGAGTTTTTCATAAGAAAACTTAATTTAAGTATTTTGGATCAATAGGAAAAAAACTAGAGATAGGATTTTTAAAGCAATTTGGCTATGGGGGTCTGAGGTATCAGTTCATTGTGGAAAAGGGGTCTCTTGCCCAACATATTTTGGAAATTCCTGATTTATCTTATGGACGTCTTATTGTTGCTAATATAAAATTTTTAAAATTTTTATTACATGCTTAGTACTCAATACTATCTCAATCCTATATCAATTCTATATCAATTCTATATCAATTCTATATCAATCCTATATCAATCCTATATCAATCCTATATCAATCCTATATCAATCCTATATCAATCCTATATCAATCCTATATCAATCCTATATCAATCATTTATCAATCATTTATCAATCCTATATCGATCCTATATCAATCCTATATCAATCTTATATCAATCCTATATCAATCCTATATCAATCCTATATCAATCTTTTATCAATCCTATATCAATCCTATATCAATCCTATATCAATCCTATATCAATCCTATATCAATCCTATATCAATCCTATATCAATCCTATATCAATCCTATATCAATCCTATATCAATCCTATATCAATCCTATATCAATCCTATATCAATCCTATATCAATCCTATATCAATCCTATATCAATCCTATATCAATCCTATATCAATCCTATATCAATCCTATATCAATCCTATATCAATTATTTATCAATGTAAGTAAATAGAAGTTTGTGTTCACACTCCCCTAATTTATGTGTTTGTGTGTCTACATGTCGCTATTTTTAAAGGGCCAGAGTCACTTGTTCTGAATAGCCTAATTGTAGTACCTAATGACACAAACCAAAATATAATAGATCTATTACAATTATTGTAATGAAAAGACAACCCTGTTTCCTTTCGTCGGATCTCTCTGACTTTGATCCAACGTTGCCTAATTTATTAGATTTCTACTTTTTAGTAGATTTCAGCTTTCTTTGGCTAGTTTTAGTAGAATTTTTTTGGCAGATTTTTTAGTAGATTTCTATAAATTAAGAAAAAAATTCAATACTAAAATATTACTTCCTATTTAAATAATCCTGTTGTTAAAAATGATTGCTAAGAACGTTAGATTATAACTAGGGTTGGGCGATTTATCAAAATAAATATTCTATTATTTAAAATATTTTTTTATTTTCAATTAATCGATCATTTGGGAATATTATTTATCGATTATATATATCACTAGAGTACAGCAAGTTAGTTCATATTAATGTAAATAATAACTACACTTAATACAAACCCAAATAAAAAAACAGAGATATTGGTGATTGCATAAAGTTTTGAACCGAACTTACAAATGCTAAAATTATTGTAAAAAATTGAATAGCCCTTTTAAATTATCATGAGCCACCACTGACTGAAAAGGCAAGCAAATAA